TACGGACGGTTACGTTACGTTACGTTACGTACTAGTACTACTACTACTACTAACGTACCGTACCTCTCTCTACCTACACACACTACTACTCTACTAACTATCTACTCTCTCTCTCTCTCTCTCTCTCTCTCTCTCTCTCTCTCTCTCTCTACTGTCATTTCAAATTCAATTGGATTGTCTATATAATAACAAACTATTTGCGTCCCACTTCACGCTTTCTCAGTGCTCTCTGGTACTAACATTTGCATCACCTTCTCTTTCTATTAAAGCTTTTCGAGGGTTTTCCATTTCCTCTGGTTCTAGGGGTTTGGAGGGTTTCTGCTTGTGTGTTTTGGGGTTCTCTTAGCGTTCCGAGGAGCCATGGATCCCCAGGTGATGGTTGCTCTTGCTCTATCGCTTGTTGGTGGATTGAGCACTTCTATTGGTATATTTTCTCATTCCCTTTTTCTGAATTATCCACTCATGATCTATGCTATAATTTCTTGCTTGTTTGTTTTGTTTATTGCTCTGGTTGAAAATGTTTTTCGGATTAATGGAGCTGTGCTTTGAGTTTATTTACAAAAACGTGAATGATGGGAATTTATTGTGTTTTCTCTCTGTTGAAATTCTATACCGTTATTGCAAGAATTTAAATTTATACCAGTATTGTTCTGATGAACTGGGCAACTTCTTTTAACTTTTCTACGTTAATCTAATCTTATGCCAATGAATTTGGGATTCGAATATCAGTTGGAGCTCCATTTATGTATAATTCTTTTGACAATTAAACTTATTTTGTCTCTGAGGTTGGATTGAAATGAGTGTTTCAAAGTATTCCTTATGGTTGCAATATCCTTCCAAGAAGGCGCATGGACTTTTTTGAAATTTGAATCTTCCTCTACAATTAAAGGCCCGTGTTAGTTTTTACGTTTTATATACCTTTCTTTACCTCTTTCAGTGCAGAGGATTGAACTTTTTGTCAAAGAGAACTTCATTTTCTCATTAGTTGGTGACCAATAAATTCCCATCTTAGTGACAGAAAAGACTTCCGTTGATATCTTGCTTATATATCTTACTGATGATTTTTTGATATGGATAATTGTTCATGCTTGAGGGCTGAAATATTCGAATGTGTACTGAATGCATATTTCCTCACCGAACATGAAGTGCTCAATTATCTTTTTGTGCACATTGTTATATTCAATTGGTGGTTTTGTAAATTATACTAAGTTGTGATTTATGGGAAATTTCATCTGTGTTAAATTTTTTTATTGATGGGAATTTTGAAATTGATGGCTTGTTTACTGTTTAATATTATGGTATCTAAAGTAAGAAATGTACCTTTATGTCTGCTAACGATTATGTTTCCTGAAATATTCGTAGAAGCTGCTGGCTTTCAAAGCTTGTAAGAGTCTTTTTTTTCCTTAACCTCTGCTAATAGATATCATGGCACCTTGGTTAGATCATGAATTTGCTTGTTGTTCTTATCTCTCTCCCTATATAATTTTATTGCTTTCCATTTTTGAAGAAAGTATTTCATGAATTAAGTATTTGTTCTTCAATTGTCAAAAGGAGAAATCAAGTTCCTTTATTGGAAACATTTGGAACCTAATCATGTTTATGGTAACCTGCTTTTTTGTTATTAGTAGTTCCCCTGAACTTTTGATGTAAATTTTGAGTTTTATTAATTTGTCAAGTGGAAGATGAGGAAAGTCTTGTATCCTTATTGAATATGAAGCAGGGAGCCATATGGGCTCTGCAGTATGTTATGGGGTTCCCAAAGAAGTTACTTCTTGTAAAATTTTATGCTGGTATGCTAAAATTGAAAATTTTAAAGTTCAACTTTTAGAATAATTTTTCATTTAAAAAAAAAAAAAAAATTTAGAAAAATGTTATTAAACCATAGCCAATGCATAGACCCATGATGTGCTTTCCGGTCACTGGAATCAAAATAAAAGAACAAGAATTTTGTTGGGGTTGCATGGTTGGGTCTGGTTTATATCATTCAAAACTGTAAATCCAAGGCTACTATTTAAGCAAATTGGTTGGTTCTGTTTGAATTGCCATATGGGATGTTAGTCCAATTAAGCTCTATGGATGTGGCCAGATGGGTTATGAAGATGTCACCATCCACTTTGTGCCTCATTCGCATGATGAAAGACATGAAGTATTCTGGAGTTTCTTCCCTCATATGAAGGTGGGGTTAATATCCCTTTTGATCATCACCATCATCCTCTGAGCCTTATTCCACCATGTCCCTTTTTGCTTCCCCCTACCCTTTTAGAACCTTCTACTTGAACCCAACCGCTCCTCCTAACCAGTGCTGTATTAGATCTATGTTGTACATGACCAGCCTACCTAAGTTTACTTTCCCTCATCTTATCGCCTATTGGAACCACCTCTAAGTTCCCTCATATGTATACATTTTGAATTTTATCCTTTCTTGTCTTGCCACTCACCAATCTCAACATGCTTATTTCAGCTACACTCATCTTGTGGATATGCTGTTTCTTGAATGCCCAAAATTCCACTCTATAAAGCATAGCTGATCTTGCAACCGTCCTATAAAGCTTCCCCTTTAGTTTCATTAGTATTCGACGATCACATAAAACTCAGGATGCATACCTCCACTTCACCCACCAACTCTAATTCTATGTGCGACAACATCTTCCTCAATCTCTCAATTCTCATGGATTATCGACCTAAGATATTGAAAATAATTTCTTTTAGGTATTTCTTGGTCTTTAATCTTAACTACTTTCTGTTTGCACTCCTATTATTACTAAGCTTGCATTCCGTATATTCTCTCTTAGTTTGGCTAATTTTAATACCCCTTTTGATAACCAGGCTAATATAAGGAGGCTAATTGTTAAGGCTAACTTGTCGACTGATTGGTTGGTCATTTGATCTTGATTGAACTATTTGACTCATATTTGGCTTTGTAGTCTCATGCATATAGCTTTGACTGAATGTGCATATCTATTAATAATATGTGACCTGAATAAGGTATAAATTGGTTTTGAATCTTTTGATTCGCAAGTTGCCTGACTGGCTTTTGCTATTGCATGCTATTCGTTCTAGCTTTTAAAATATGGTACATTCTAGAGTTTAATAGCAAGTACATAATAGAATCCTAGGAAATCTTGGGCTTGACTATCCTACATTTTGAAGTATTTTAATGCATTGTTCTTCACTCAAAGACTGATGCTGCATGATTATATTTGCCTTGACTTTCTTACATATATCATGTTATATAAATTGTTATTCCTTCTCATTTTTGACCATGTTAAGGGCATTTGCTTGTGTCAAAATTTTGTTTAGCATCTATTTTCAAACCAAAAAACAACCTGATGAAATTTTTTTTGAAAAAACCCTTGAAATTGATTTCGTTGAAGAGAGAGAAAATACAGTGACCACATGCTGTCCATTTAGATGAATGGACAGATCTAGGCCTTGAGTAATCAACAAATGAACATTTTTTCTTTTTTTGGATATGGGATCCATTTTTTTCTTTTTAGAGTGGTCACTGAGGTGAAGAGAACATGGGAGAAAAATTTGTGGGCATAGTAATGCCCCTAACACTGTTAAAAAATGAGGAGGGTGGGCACGGCAAAATTGCACCCTAGGATAACCCAATCCTTTTCTCAACATTGCACCTGGACTAGGGATTGGTACAAAGCTTTTACGAAAGGATTTCAATGAGACTACAAAAATTTCATGCTTAGTAGAATATATTCTATCAATGTAAGAAAATTTGGCTTTTTTGGGACATATCCCTTGCCCTTGCCGAGTTACTCAGGCGAGTCCGAGTGGACTCATTCAAGTCCTATTTGAGACTACAAAGGGCACCGAGACAAATGGAAAAAATTCCCAAACAAATCTGAAAATATAAATGTCTCATCAAAGGGTTTGATTTTCAAGAAAGGTCGGCCATCGGTTCAAAGGAATTAAAATTTTTCACAATCAGGGAAAAAAATCCCCAATTCTTTGATCTACAGAATGTTAGAAATCAAATTGTTTTTGCTCAAATCTAGTCCTTACGATATGCAGATCTAGTGATTTTCTAGCATAATTTGTAAGTTTGGATAAAGAAATAGGGGACTTTGGGCTCATATGCTCAAGAAAAAGGAAAAATGGGTGGCGAATTTCCACCCACGGACTCGCCCAACTTGCCTGAGTTCTACAATACTAGGGCGAGATTGTACTGTTCTTGCCGGAGTGCTGTGTATGTCCTCCCAGCCCAAGTATGTGCACCACTACTTGCCCCGGCCCCCTTCTTAGGCCAAGTAATTCGGCCGAGTCCGAGTTGATTCGGCCAAGTTTTAAAATACCGGTTTCAGTTAATATTAGAACTGTTTCTAGTACCTTATTTCCTTTTATGTCTCCTACTGCAGAAAACTTATTAAAAATAAAATCGGAATGTGGAAATATGAAGCAATTCAGTGCTTCGGCGTTTTAAAACTCGGTGGAATTGAAACTGGTGTTTTTATTAAGAATAAAATTTGAGTTTTAAAACATTCGCTTTGGAGTCTTCTTCGGTTTATAATAAAAATAAAAAAAATAAAAATAAAAATTTCAAAAAAATAAAAAAATAAAAACAACTTTTATATAGATATTTCTTTGTTTAGGCCAAAGAGGTCGAATCAGCCCGAAGTAGACCCGACCGAAGTGTCCTGAAGTGGCCCGAATCTAACCAAAGCGGTAGCACCAGGCTTTGCTTCGGTCTTGGCCTAAAATCCGAATGCTTCAGCCACTTCGGCCGAAGCAAAGCGAATTTGACAACACCACTATTTATGTAATGACTTTAATGAAATTTGATTTATCATCTGAGAAAATTCTCCATGATGCAGGTGCATTTTTTGTTATTCTGAATCCTGCTCCCAACTTGAAGATGCTGGGGCTTCTGCAAGGATTTGCTGCTGGCCTTATGCTGAGCATTTCATTCTTAGACTTGGCACATAATGCCATGAATTCTATTGGCTTCTTAAAAGGAAACCTTTGGGTGGGTCGTCTTTCTCTAGACAGAAATTTTGGTTTTTTTCTGATTATAGGCATTGTTTTTAACCTTTTCTTCTATTGTATCATTAAAGGAAAAGTTTATATTTGGTTGAACCAGTTTGATTTCTGCAGTTCTATGCAGGTGTAATCTTGTTTGGACTGGTTGCCAACTTCATACCAGAACCAACACTGGTGCCCAAAAAAGATGCCGCTAAACCTGTATGGCATAATCCTTTTTATGTGTCCATACATGTCATATAGAAGTTGTAATTGAAAACTATTTATGTTACCTAAGTATTTATCATGAATATTTTGTTGCCCTGCATGCCTCTCTGTACAAACTCAAAAGGATGATGGAGCAGGTAAAGACATGATGAAGAAGCATCGCCGCCAGGTTTTATATAGTGGAATCGTCACAGCCATTGGTATACTGTTTTCTCCCTCCCTTATTTTATTTCTCTATTTTCTTTCTTGGTTTATGGTATATATTTTCCCTTGAGGAAACTACAGAGTTGGGAAAACAATCCCACTTCCTTTGATGCTGGCTCCTCCAGTCTTTCTAATGTGAAACAGTTCTCTGTGACTATCATTACTGTGTGAAGGAATCCATTTGTGGAATTGATGGATAAGATGACATCATCATTCCAGCCTTATCTCAATGATTAGGGTTGGCTTGATGAAAAAGATGGCAACTTTGGTTAATTGATAGGTGAAATGTTATAAATTTCTAACTGCTATACAAATATTTCCTGTAGAGAAGAAAAGAGATATAAATGTCAGACGATACAATAGATGCAAATCGTAGAACTGTACGTGTATGCATACTTACACTGATTGTGTCATATTATCTATCTAGTATCATGATTGCATCCACTCAAATCTTATCTTGCTTCTTCTTTACTTCTAATAGACACTTCATAGCTTTGTATGGATTGTTATCATATGTCATACTACTTTTCCTGTTGTTTTGGTCTTGGCATATTAGAGACTCATTGCTAGCGTCGAGTGTTTAGAAACATGAAATCAGGCTAAAACTGGTTAGGCCCTGGACCTAGTCTTGGGCAAGTCCCATATTAAGAAACCACTCTTTTTTGAAGAATATTCACTGGATTTTTTGAAGACTTGGCCAGACTGGGAAAGACTTGGGTGAGACTTTGGTCAAACTCAGTCAAGGATCGGATCAGACTCTCCAAATATGGGTAATCAATGACTGGCACTCACCTGAGTTTGACTTGTCTAGTTTTTAACCACTGCTTTGGTTCACTAAATGCATGGCCATGAGTTGCGATGGACCATTTAGCTTGAAGCGCTGTGGTACTCTTCCAAATCAAATTGTATGTGTATGTTAGAAATCCATCTGAAAGAATAGATTAAAATGCATGTGTGGTTAAAAAGTGGTGTAGACCTTCACCATTAGAGTTGACTGCTTCCTGCAATAGTGTAGCTGTTCAGATTTAGTCTATCTATGATAACATTTTCTAAGACAGTTGAATAAGTGGAGTCTCTTCACTCTTAGTGTGGAATTTGCTGTAATGATTTCAATTTGTTTACTTAAAAATGATTTGTTTTTAGTGGGGAGAATAGTCATGTTTTGTCATACAAAATGCCACAGAATTACCACAGTGGTGGTTGATATATCCTCTGGTGAAATGGTGGCTTCTATATTGTTACTAGATCAACCATGCAGATAAAAGTAAAGTGAATTTCCCTTAGAAAATAGGTGTATATGTATTTCTATTTCATTTCAAATATATGGTGAGTCATCTAAACGACGACTTGGTTTTTCTAACAAGTTGCAGGCATAAGCTTGCACAATTTTCCCGAGGGAATGGCTGTCTTTCTTGGATCAATCAAGGTGCTTTGAAGTTCTTTTAATTTTATAGAAGGGCCATGTAGTTTCTTTTTTGTTTTACTATTATTATAACAAAGTAATGCTGTAATATTCTCATATGAGTATGTTTTTTTTCTTTGATATATTTGCCTGGAACTCTTTTGTATCCTTCGCCTTCTTCCATTGTCAATTGGTTCTCTCCTTGTCATATGTTGCATCTCCATATTTGAAATATGGATTCATAAGGAACTCTCAATATCAGATATGTATTTCTATATCTGAAGTATCTTTGCCAAGGAAACCTTAATTGGCTATAAGTTTAAAATGCTTTGGTACATGCAGCTTGTTCTGCAAGTTATGTATGTAGCAGGGAGTTTCATGTTTGCTTTGTTTGTCTAGTTCCTTCACCAATCTTTCCAATATTATGACTCCCACAAATTGGAGCTGGCCATGCTATGAGATATTTTTCATTTGTATGTTCCTAGAAAACATATATTCCTTGGTACTTGTCAAAGCGTTGTGTCTTTGTTTTTTTTTTTTAACTGTAAAATGCAGAATGTTTTACATTTCAATTAAGAGAAATATACTGCATTGCAACTGTAAGAAGTGTGGATTTGCCTTAGATTTAGATTTTTTGTCATAAAGACTAAAGAGAAACATCAATGTTGCAGAATTCTTTGCCTCTTGGCTGTAAATTCAACTGAGACAAGGGAAGAGGGTCATTCAGGCCTCTGGATACCATTGTTTGTTCTGGAGTTAAATAGATTCTAACACACACCGTCAGCCAACTTTCTGTTTTTGATAGGAAAGGATTGCCAATGTTTCTGTCATTACTTCAAGCTCAAACTAAAAATAGTTAAGGAATAGAACTAAGATGGAGAGAAGTTAGAACAACTTCTGTTTTAATTGAAATGCACTTTCAAGATTCTGTCAATGTCTGGTGCATTAGTATATATTTTGCAAAAGAATTGCTGGACATTTTTGAGTTGTGACTTGTGATGTTTCCATTTCTCATTGATAGTTTCTTTGGTGTTGAGATTTCTGTGTGGCCTTGGTTAGTTTTTCTGAACTGTGACAAGGGAGCTTGTAAACCTGACAAGTAAACAATAGTAATGACTAAGTAAGTAATCACCATTATCTTATCGCCAATGGAACCATCTTATCTTACATCCTTCAAAGAAAAAGAAAGTTTCTACCAGTAAAACCATAAACTTGGCTCCTGATTTTTATCGTACAAATACAGAAACATGACATTCTTACTAGCCCATTTCACTGCTTGGTACTTGTCCATGAATTATCACTATTCCAGTTGGCAGCTAAATGATATATCTGCAGCTTGTTTTCTCTAATATAAGCATGTGATACAGCTGTATGTTTTCTTGAATCAGTTGAGCTGATAAATTCATGATGCTGTAGGGACTTCGGGTTGGGCTTAATTTGGCGTTGGCTATTGCTTTGCATAATATTCCAGAGGTAACCTGTTTAGCTGATGCTGATTTATCTCTGAGGTCACTAAAGTCATTAAGATTATATTGATAAACACTTGCTTTTATGTGTTCCTTCTGTTTTTTTGGTTCTTCCCTGAGCTTTTCCTCGAAATAATTACTGCTTCATGATTGGTTTACTTGGAAAATGCATTCAGTCTTCATCAGATTCAGGAGGTCAATTTTCTATTCCTACAAATATAATATCATCATTATTAATTAACAGTAGAGGAATCCATGTGACACCATGCATTGAAGTCTTTTATTCTTTTTGGAGATCAGCTTTATTTTTGAGGGAGAGTTTTTAATAAATGACTTCTCTCAGTAAACTGGGTGACTCAGCATCAAGCCAAAGGCTGGGTGACCATCTCGCCGTAAAGTCATTATGCTCTATATTGTGTTCTGTTAATTTTGATGTTGTTTGTCTTTAAATCGCTTCTTTGGTTTCAGAATAAAGGATATATTTAATTGTTCATCAACTGCATACAGAGCTACACTTGATTTCAGGGCCATATTGTGCCTGATACGAATGAGGGCAGTGATGAGGTTTAACAAGTTCTTGCCCTATACTCATAGCTCTATGCCTTATTTAAATTCATGTAGTTTAACTGATGGGACTGAGTTCTTGGGCTCCCTGATACCTGATTCTTGTCTGTACCGATTTGGTTATTGCGATTTGAGCCATCAGCATCCTCTTCCTCAGGAGCGTATCATTGGAGATACCTAGAAATCACTTCATCTCCAGAGACCTCTCTGTCCTTTCATCTTCATCACCAACTGCTTGTTTGTCTGGAAATTGGGATTTTTCTCAAGGGAATGACATCCACCTTTCTCATCTAATACTGTTTCTTGGTTTGAACTCAGCACATAGGTGACAAATACCCGTCTTGGACCATTTCCCATGGGAAAGACTGTGGAGTGTGATAACACTGTTGTATTTAACCTGCAGGGATAGTCACCCTTGACCATTCAGGAAATTCTTCCAAAAAGTAATCCTGTGTATGACTGGGTCCTGCCCCACGTGATGGACCTTTGAACACCTGCTATTTATCTACCTCCTGCTACGGCTAAGACCTAATAGCTGTGCACTCTGAGATGCCATAGGAAATATTGTTTGGCCAGCTCATTATACCCTCTAAAGTCTAAACATCATCTTCTGGATGTTCTATTGTCTGTGACTATTTGATAGCTTTCATACAAGTTACAACCCAAAAAGGCACCACAAACAATAATGGCGACTGGGATAGGAATGTCTTTGGCCAGCTGATTATACCCTCTAAAGTCTGAACATTGTAGTCTGGATGTTCTATTTCCTTTGACTATTTGATAGCTTTCATACAACCCAAAAAGGCACCACAAACAATAATGGCGACTGGGATGGGAATGTCTTCTACTGCTTCTTGTCCAGAAAATTGTGAACTGTCCTTTCTCTTCCCAGTTTTTACGATCTTCATGCGGATCACATTACGCAGTATCTGCAGTTACAACATACAGGTAGCTGATCCAATACCATCTTATGATTTTCCATGAGACAAAACCTCATCAAGGATATTTTACATTCTGGTTTACTTGTTTGTTGATTGGGCAAGTCCGATACTCTTTTTGGGGTTTCTCATAGACCATTAACTCTTTTTTCTGTTCTGTTGATGTAGTTGGTGCCTTGGTGGGCATGTTTTTTACAGTTATAGTTTCAAACTTTCTTATAGAATAGCCCCTAACCTACATTTTATGAATTAACTAAACTTTGATGTTGATTCAACTTCATGTTGTGAAAAAAATGATAATGTGCTTGTTTGCTCCATCAAAATCAAAGAGAGACCAAGTTGCTGACTTGTTTTATAAAACCTAACAAGTTCATTGATTTTCTTATTGGGAACTGGAAATGGTTAACCTGGGTTTCTCAACTTTGGGATATTTGTATAAATCTATGGGGGATGGCAAATGGACATCATTCGTTCCTATCTATATATTGTTGATTTGTTCTTTTGTTCTTTCTGTGAATACACTATTCAATTTCAGGGATATTGCCTCTTTTCTTGACATGCCGAAGATAATCTGTTCTTATTTCTAATACAAGAAATGCCGCAACATGATAGTTTTCTTAGAAAGCATGTGTTGATGGTTTCTACATCATGCTCCTGCAGGAGTGAGTCTAGAATATGTTCCTGCAGGAGCATATAATCTCTTGGCTTCTATTGTTAGGACATTCGATGGTTGAACTGAACTTCTTTTTAGTGGCCAAGTTAAATGCTAGCAAGTTGCAAGTCTGCTTATAAATTTTTATCTGCTTTGCCTTTATTTAAAATGGCAACTGATTTTTATGAGATTCACTTGCTTTATGCCTAGTTTGATTAGTTGAATTTTATTCTGTGATTCTATTGTCAAGCTCGCATTTGGGGGACTTTGTCGAGCTGATGCTCACAAATTTTCCCCAATAAAATGTCTTGCTTTGAACAAATTTTATTAAATACTGTAGTTGTGATTTCAAAATTTTATTTTGCAGGGTGTTGCTGTGGCTCTTCCTGTCTATTTTGCAACAGAAAGGTACATTACTCTGCTATTTTATATATCTTGAGTGCTGCCGAAATAGTAACTTGTATCTTAGGATTCAGGCTTGGGCTTGATTGGGTAGGTGTTGAGAATTTCAATACTACATCCCAAGTTTGAATCCTACGACTGAACTACCTGAAAAAGAATCTGTCCATCTGTTTTAGCATTTTTTAATCTGCTGAGCCATCATATTCTTTTGTCTGGATAAGGTTCTTAATGTGTCCCTTCCGTTTTACACTTTCTTCCAGCAAATGGCAGGCTTTTAAATTGGCAACACTTTCTGGTTTCGCCGAACCTCTGGGGGTGATTCTTGTGGGTATGTTAATGAGATTTCTTACCCACTACAGGCATCTTTCTGTAGCGATAAATTCTACTTTTACTTTTTTGGGCGTATGGCATGCTCCCGCAGAGCAAATTGTACATTTATGTTGCACACCAACAACCTAGTTAGGGGGAATTTTTTGATCCGAAAGTCCTTAAATCATCTTTGATTCACATCTGGAACAATTTCTAAAAACCAAAGGACGAATATGGACCTCTTCATTTGATCATTCATCAAATGGATGGTAATGAGCCAATGTTGGAGCGCATGTATTGGAGCGTTTTCTGGCTTCCAACTGATTTTGTTTTTTGGTTTCTTAGAGATGAATAAAGATGATTTGAGAGTTAGTTTGGGGCCAAACAAATCCCTTGAAGTTGTGTGTTGTCTGCTTTGAGCAAGTGTACAACTTGCTCTGGCAAGAGCATGATAATGTTTTCCTTATTTTGCCCTCAATTCTGGCTTTCTGTATCCTCTTTCTGTGTAGCCTGCTTTGGATTTAATTTTCATTTATAGGAAAAAGTTTATATAATGTTGTAACCGTATACTATTTAAGTAAGATGCACCTAAAAAATCCTCCAAAAGAGAGTTCTAATGTTGCAGAATCCTTCAATTGATCATCTTGACTTCGAGATGTGTGGATATTAAAGAAAAAAAGAATTTCAAGTCTTTGAAATAGTGTATCTTGGAATAAGTTATTTGGAGCGTTTGTTTTCAAGGTCTTCAAGTATTTATAGATACTTAACAAAAAAAAGCATTTATAGATCTGCCTGATCTGTAATATTTTTGAAATTTTAAATTTCATAATTAAGGATAAAAATGAAGAGGATGAGGAAGATGTCGCACATAGAATTAGAGTTGGGTGGGTGAAGTGGAGATGTGCGTCCGGAGTTTTATATGATCGTCGTATACCATTGAGGCTAAAGGGGAAGTTCTTTAAGATGACTGTAAGACCTACCATGTTTTATGGGACGAAATGTTGGGTGGTCAAGAAACAACATATGTATAGAATGAGTGTAGCTGAGCTGAAGATATTGAAATGGATGAGTGGCAAGACAAGAAAGGCTATAATTCGGAATGAATACATACGAAGGTACTTAGGTGTAGCTTCAATAGGTGATAAGATTAGAGAAAGTAGATTTAGGTGGGTTGGTCATGTAAAGCGTAGATCTAATACAACATTGGTTAGGAGGTGCTATTTGGTTCATGTGGAAGGCTCTAAAAGGACAAGGGGAAGGCCCAAAAGGACATGAATAGAAGTAGTAAGAAAAGATATGGTGATTTTTAATCTTATTGAGGGTATGACCCTTGATAGAGAAGAATGGAGGAACAAGATTCATGTAGCCAACCCCAAATAATTGGGATAAGGTTTGGATGAATGATGATGTTGATGAATTAAGGTTAAAAATAGATTTTTAGGCGATTATGACGTTTTGGACACCAAAACTACATCTCCAAGTAAATTTTAGAAGGATGTTCCTTACGTGTACAGTATAAGGAGGGTACCTTATTCAAACCTAACCCTTATTTACATCTAACTATTTCAATTTGATGTTGGATGATTTTGGCGTGGCTGGGGTTGATGGGAACTAAAGTAGTTTAGATGTCGGAGTCATTGCATTGAAATTGTTGATATTCCACTGTGCACTTCCTTGGACCACTATACATGGATAGAGATCCTCAAAAGTTAACCAGATTGTCCTCTAGGAACAAAGTCCTCATAGAGATTTTAGTTGATGTTTTGGGATTTTAGCTTCACTAAAGGCTAGGGGGATTGGTTTTGGAAGATCAAGACCAATCAAATTTATTGACTGTTGGTTACATGGATTACTATGTTGGAGAGTTGGAAATATCACCATCTTGAATGCTATTATGTTGATGCTTGGACAAACTTCTGTGATGTGATTTCTTAAAAATTGTGATAATGGAGCTTGGTTTAATTGTGTTATTAATAGATTTCTCATTTGTTATTAATACACACGTAGTTTCAATTTTGGATGTCATGGGATGCTCAAACCATAAAAGCATCCATGAATTAATCATGAACGAGGTGCTATACTGAAGTCCAAGTGCACAAAAGATGTGGGGACCCTAGGAGGGAAGGGAACTCCGGATAATAAAAATACTCGAATGAAAATATCAAAGGAATAGGGATTGAGTTTGAGTTGTTATAACAGTTACTGTTAGCAAGGTTGCATGTCGAGTTCAATTCCTACCACCAAACTACAATTCCTACCACCAAACTACCCAAATAAAAGGAAAGAATAAATCAAGTTGCCTTGAGGCAGCTATGCTTCTCTTTCCATGGGATGGCGCCATAGCTCCCTAACCTTAACACTATACCCAAGCCTTTCATAACTACTGCAGTATAGATTCCAATTTTCTTACGGCTTAATGACACTTTCTCCAATCTTTTAAAGCTTAAACATCAATTTCATACTCTTCTGGAAAGGGTAAACCCATTTTTGGCTAGACTGCCATGTTAAATGCTGAGTAAAAGTATGTTTGAAACTTATAAATCCATTTCAGATCCTGCGATGCACATTTACCGCAAATGGCAAAGTGACATGTCGTTATCTTTGTCTTGAGAGATTTTGTTTTTTTCCTTTTAAGTCAGTTGTTTCTTTAGCCAATTCCACATTTAGTTACTGCTTCATTGGCCAGCATTACTGAAAGTTCCAATATATTTTTGGTAAAACTCTAATATGTTTTTGGGTCACTGCAGCTTACCTATTCCCAAGCAAATTATCCCCTGAAATCCTGGAAGGCCTACTTGGATCAGGTACTTAGCTATAGTTTTTTGTCGTGGTGTGATGGTATCTGTGTGTGCGCACATCCGTGTGTGTGTGTGTGTATGTGTGCAATCAACTGGTGTCAGGTGCAAGGGCTTCTCAATGGGTCTTCCATATCAGTCTCTTTCTCTCTCTCCACAGTGTGTGTGTGTGTGTTTATACCACTGCAAGAGGTGTTTATGTCATGCAAAATGTAATCCAGTACCTAGTTTTATATGTGGATAATTTTAAGTGTAGTTGGAGGAGTGATGGCTTTTCTTACACTACATGAAATGCTGCCTCTTGCATTCGACTATGCTGGCCAAAAGCAAGCCGTCAAGGCCGTCTTCTTAGGCATGGCTGCAATGTCTGCAAGGTATTATAAATGGAATTTCTTCCTTTTTGTTTCTTTTTTTGGGGTAAATCAGTGGGGGGAGAAGGCCCCCTATCACCATTTTTTATTTTTTTTTTCAATTTTCTTTTGTGCTTTTGGGTATCTCAAATTTCTGAATTCTTAAACTAGTTTTCCTTTTCTGACACTTACTTTCTCGTGTGTTTATACCTGTTTGACAGTCTTTATTTCTTGGAGATCAGCTTGCCCAAGGAGATGAGCTTGTAGCTGTTGACCTTTGCGTAGCCATGTAACTGTAATTGATCATTTCAATTCTCTGACCTCATTTATGTACAGCTACATTTGATGCCAATAAAACGTCTCTGGGTAGATATATCTTATTTTTGTTGGCTCAATTTGAGGTTCTATAGATGGCATTCTGCAAATCCAAACCCTAACATAGAAGCAAAAATTGACCTGCTGTTCGCCTAGGTTGCCACCCTGACTTGCCTACGGAGCAGAGTGCCCACTGAGGTCTAGGCAGGCCTTCTTAGGCGTTTGAGGCAGGTGCCTAGGGTTTAGGCCTAGGCACCCGCCTAGTTTGCCCCTTGCCATAGGGCATAAAATATCTCGAGTAAGGAGCATTCCGGTCATTTCTCCTTCCTAAGGGGCAAAAGGGATTTGGTTGTTCTAGAGTTCAGGGGTTCTAAAGTCTCTCTTGCAAAAAAGTTATACGATAGAAGACTTTTTGAATGTTTTCGAGATCGAAAATTTTTTAGAAGTTGGAGAAATCATCTATTACTTTAGTTTTTTGTATTGAATTCACTTTAAACTATTAAGAGATGTTATTAGAGGACTTTTTTTAGTCACTCAGAGATATTTATGCACAATATTGATGATTAAAAACCATGGCTAAATCATATGTATCCATTAATGATATATACATACATGTATGTATCATCATCATCATCAGAGTCTTATCCAATGATATATGTTTTGTTGATGCACATAAAGAAAAGAATAATGAGGCCGATTCTTTAGCAAGACAACAGGTGGAAGCTCAAAAATTCTATGTTGAATAAATCAATACTATAAAAGATAGAAATGCGATCAATGCAGATTTTAGTAGGATTATATGATTCATGTATTTGTTGAAGGGGTTGCAACTTCTTACTGTTTGTTGTTCTTGATTTAACATTGAGTGTTGGGTAATGAAAGAAGGAAGTTGTTATTCTTGTCAAAAAAGATTTAAAAAACAAAAGTTATATGGAGGTCCGACCATGCCATGAATTTCTCTTGAATTTTGCATAATGTTTTCCTTTCCAATTATAGAATCAGAATTTATAAAACGTATTTTGAAATACTTTATATTTCTGAATCTTGAATTGTAAAGGCTTTTAAATTTCATGCATTTCAAGCTTTTTTAAAGAACGTTGGGAATCATCATCGCCTTTTCCCAAGTAATTGGGATCGGCTTAAAGACTTATTAGAATACAAAGATTAAAGTAATTTTTACAATGAAAATTTCATGCTTTAAAACCAATTTATGACTTAATATTCAGACTCAAAATTTCCTGGCATTCTTATTAATTATAAATTTTCTCTCTCTTTTGTTATATTTGAAAATTTATTGTTCTTTTATATAAGATTTGTCTAACAATTTCTGGTCTTGGGATATTTGGTTATTATTCTATCTCTGACTTATCTATATGTACGATGCATGTAAATCCACTGGTTCCCGTAAGGCCAATGATCCCATGATTATTACATTTATAATTGTGCTATTAAAGTAGGAACTATTCGATATTAAAAAAATTTATTGTCAACTGGCTAATTGGATTGCACCCATTGGGTGGTGCCAATTTTCATAGGTATTTGGGTTTAAGGCAAAATGAGCCTTTGAGCCAAACCTATTGTCTACCCAATATTTGGTTTCGTTATTATTCTCTCTCTCCTTGCATGTCGATGTATACACTGCACGTAAATCCACTAATTCCTATAATTAATATGATCCCACGTATGCGCACATATATATATATATATATTTTTTTTTTTGAAGTAAAAACTTGCACCTCTTTCACTATCATCCATCACATTACTTTACAACCCACTTCCACTACAACCATCTCACCCCATATTTCCATTAAAAATAAAATTAATCATAGCACCCCAAGTAGCAGTTCATTTGGTCTTCTATAATCTCCTACCCCCAGATTAACTTCTCCATCTTCTCTGCTTCATATTTTGTTGAGCTTTTTGGCCTTCGCCACGGGGTTAGCCGTGGCGATCGCTTCCCTCTCGGCAGCTTTGAAATCAAAGGCATGCTGCTCTGGGTACCGATGTGTCGAGCAAAATGTGATCCCGCACCTGCACTTGAACCATGTCAATCCCACCCTCTCCGGCAGCAAGAGCGTCTGTTGGGCGTAGCAGTCTGCGGTCCGCTCTGAAGAGAAGAAGACGATGACAAAACTGAGGCGTTAGAATCGGCAGAAGAGTTGGATGAAACAGTAGCTGGCTTCTGGTGATTGTCGAGAAGCTCAGGTACTGACGCAGAGACAGAGGAAGAGGAGACAGAGGGATTATTGTTCGGGTTCAGCGATTTCTCGACTGCTGCTTTGGCAGAGTTGGCCTGGTCTTCCTTGAGCACTTGGAGCAGAGGTTCAGGGTGGCAGGGCTGCCAAAGAAGCCACAGTTGTTGGCACAGAGGCGGTGGCCTTCTGGGGCTTGGCATTCCTCTGTGCCCCGGTTCCAGCTCTCTTCTGCCATTGTAATTGTTCCAGAGCTCGAGTTGGTTATTGGGCTTAGGCTTAATCTTAGGCCCTCTCTCTTTGGATGTTCTTCTTTCAATCCTGATATGATATATCAGAAGTTTGAAGAGAGCTGTAATGGCGACAGAAACAGGTTTCGGGGCAGGCACAGAGGAGAGAGGCAGAGCGCTTCGTGAGAAAAAAACAAAGAGGGCTCCGAGCCTGTGGCTTTATGGACCCGTATGCATGCCGACACATATGAGAGTGCTATTATAGTATAAATTATTCGACGTTGAAAAAATTGATCTTCAAATGGCTAACTGGATTGCACTCATTCGATGGTGTCGATTTCCAATCTACACCTATTGTCTGGTGTTAAGATATTTGGTTTTCTCACTGCATATCTATATGTAATGCACATAAATCCACTAGTCCCCGTCATGCCAGTGATCCCCCGCGCGTGTATATATATATATATAAAATATGCTATTAAAGTAGACGACATTCGACATCAGAAAAATCGCTTGTCATTTGGGTTAACTTGATTGCACCCATTGGGTGGAGCTAATTTCCACATGTGTTGGGTTAGTCAAATGAGCCTTTGAGCCACACCTATTGTCTACCCAATATTTGGTCTAGGCCATTTTTCCAATTTAAAATCATTTGCAATTTGTGGTGTAAAAAACATCACAACTTAAAGCATGTTATTTGTGGCTTTTAGGGGGTTATGGAAGACTTATCTTCCATCATTTTTAATGGAAGGGAGGTCTTAGTTTTTGACAGTAGGGGGACTCTCTCCCCGAAGACTGCTCTTGTATCATTTTACTGGAAATGTGATCTTCAAAAAATGAACCCATTTTAACACTAAAAAATAATAATGTGGAATGCCGCCCTTCTACTTTACAGCTTCCACACAATAATATCAAAAAGTGGGACATTTAATTCCCACTTATCAAACATGCTCTTAGTTCCTATTGTGGAAAGGACCGGTTTCTATGGGATTAGGCCCACATATGTAGAAATGCGGGCCTATTAATAAATCTATTTTTGAGATGGATTTTTGGACTCAATTTTTAAGGACATGTAACATCTAACATGTAGATCATGAATATGAAAAAATAAGTAAATTTTAAAATTAGAAATAATAATTATAGTAAAAAACATTTGGATGGTTAGTTTCCATTGTTTTTAGATGGAACACCTGCTTGCATCCATCTTTAAGAAGGATGCTTTACATTTTTTGGAACCGTTTATGTAGTCATGCCATTCCTTATGGGAATACATCCGATAATGATGCCCATATCCAATGCTGTAGAAAAAGTATAATTTTGGCCTAAGGGAAAATGTTGCTAAACCTCATAGATTGAAGCCCTTGGTTGAGGGACCGGCTCTCACCTTATGGTCATGTTGTTGGGACGTACTAAAAAAAAAGAAAAAAAAAAAAGAAAAAGAAAAAGAAAAAATAAAAAAGAAGAAAAAAACAAAAGAAGCAAGGTCAAAATCCACCCAAAAGAAGTAATCAAGAAATGAAATAAGGGCCAATGGCTGGATTCTCTTAATATGAGTGGAAGCAAATAGAATGTGTAAAATATTGTTAGGTAAGATCTGAAATTGGGGAAGATATTGGAAGGTATTCCTTGTAATTTGTCTGAGAACCATAGTTATAATAGTAACAGAACTCAAAGCTTTTCTATAATGAGAAGTTGTGGTCCTATTGACATGCTGAATGGCCAAAATATGGCAAGGAACCAAGAAGTCAGATGTCCAATTTAGGTTCTTGTGATGTACCTTTATGTTATTAATGGGGAAAATAATTATCGGATCGATCAACCTGGGGTACAGATCCAGGGTAGCCTAGACCTAATCGTGTTGGGTCGACCCCATCTGGACGTACTAGTCGGACATCGCGGGTCAGATCTGAGTCTGCTTGACCGACTCGACTGGGTCCTTTTCTTGTTATCTTGAATTTTACTGATTATGTTGAAATTGCATTTTCATTTAATCTGTCAAGCTCATGGTTGGTAGAGAGAACAGTAAATTTTGAGAGACTAGAAAATCCTTCACGAGACGAGCAATACCAGTTTCCACTTAGTTTTGATACTCTTTGTAAACGCAAATTGACAAATTCTCGGTTCTCTGATTCGTAAGTGGTTGTTTGAGGAACGTAGATTATGATATAACTCGTAACAGAAAATACTGTGTTAGGTTAATTTGTTTAAAATTCGAGGCTTCCGGAAAAATGTGTTTCATTTATGCTGAAATTTGTAAACTTGGAGATCCGTATATTAGTCAATTTTAAAGGTTCATTGAAGTTTTAATTTGTGAGGGCGATGTTTGTTAAATAAATGAGATTTTGAAATTACAACTCATCCATGGTTTAACAAAATGGACAGTCTTGATCAAATAACAAGCAAAAACTTTTTGGAAGAGTTGGGAGCATGTTGAAGCTATCTATACATCGGATTGAGCCGTTTCATCATCATCAAAATCTTATCCCAACCATTTAGGATCGGCTACATAAATCCTGTTCTTCCATTCCACTCCATCAAGGGCTAATACTCGCAATCGGACTTTAAGTCACCATATATCTTGTTTAACTACTTTCATTACGTCCTTTTGGGCCATCCTCTTGGCTTTTTAAAGCCTTCTACTTGAACCAAATCTTCATTTTTAATCGGTGTTGTTCTAGGTCAACACTGTACATGACTAGACCATTTAAATCTACTTTCTCTCATCTTATTGCCAATTGGGGCTACTCCTAAGTTTCCTAACATATATTTATTTTGAATTCTGTCTTTTTGTCTGGCCACTCATCCATCCCAACATCTTCATCTCAACTACATTTATTCTATGAATATGTTGTTTATTGACTGCTGAACATTGGGTCCTGTGATGGTTGGTTTTACAACCGTCCTATAAAATTTACTTTTCAGTTCATTGGCATACGATGATCACATAAGTCTCTAGAAGTACATCTACACTTCTCTACCCAGCTCCAATTCTTTGCATGACATCTTCCTCAATCTCTCTATTTTCATAGATTATCAACCTAAGCTATCAAAAATAATTTTTTAGGTGTTCTTTGACAACTAATTTATTGTTTCTACTCCTATTATTACTAAACTTACATTTCATATATTATGTCTTTGTCCAGTAAATTTTAAAACATTTTGATTATTGAGCATCCCTCTGAAGTTCTAACTTTGCATTGACACCCTCTCTAGATTCATCAATCAAAGTTAGGTTATCCACAAACAATATACACCACGGTACCTCATCCTCTAGATGCCTGATTAACTCATTTATAAATAAAACAAATGGATATAGGCTCAACGTTGATGTGATGTATGCTACTGTCATTGAAAACTCACTTGTCTTTGCTAGTTCTCCTCGTACTAGTTAGCACTCATGATTCATGAAATAGATATGACAAAAGTTTTACACTGACTAACAACTTAACACAACCCTCCTCCTTTCGGGCTTGAAACTGGCAATGACCGGTTTAAGACAAAATGGCTAGAGAAAGAAGTGCCTAATGAGGATGAGAGGGGAGAAAAGGGGAGCAAACTTTGGATGGTCAAAAAGGTACTGAGATCTTGTGGCAGCATTTCTTCATTCACTCCATAGAGTAAAATCCAGTATATGAGTACTTTTAGACCCCTGAATCATGGTAATGTAACTTCTCCAATTTAACAATTAACCTAAAAAAATCCTAAGAAAGAAGAAACGGTTTGAAGGCAGCCTATTTGTGCCTCAAAAAAAGATGACCTAAGATATGGATAGAGCCTATCTCCTTTTCTATTCTTCATCTTCTTCTTTTTCTTTTTTTTCTTTTTTTTCTTCTTCTTCTTTTTTTTTTTTAATTATTATTATTACAGTGATATTTAAGATTGAAATAATTCAAATCCAACTTCTTTGTGATTATCTAAGTGATTCATCGGTGGATCTCAAACTTTTTGATAGTTAAATCATCACGAGTAGCTTATTTGCCTCACGGAGTAAGTGCATAGTTGCTCCTACTGGAGCATACTATGATCGATGGAGAGAGATCATTGACCCCCAAGAGCAAGCTTATAGTTGCTCCCATGAGATCATGCAATATTCAATACTGTGATTTAAAGTTTTCGTATTGGATCGGGAATCAGTGCTACTGAACCCATTCTGTGATAGAATAGGGAATTGTTCATCTGAATTCGCTTGGTTCTGTCAGGGAACCGAACGATCCGGATTAGGCGAATCTCCGAGATCCCACCTATATCAGCATCACCATCATTATTATTATTATCTAATTATTTTTTTCAAATTTTATATCGGATTCATCGACTTGGAACATATTTCTGAAAGGTAGGTTCACTTGGCCATAATGGTCTTTTAAAGGCTAATTTAATATATATAAATATAGGGATTGTATATAATGAGACCATTTACCGTTTAGTATAGGGGAGTCACAATTACTTATAACCATCCGATGTGAAATCTAATAGCTTATGTGTTATAAAGTTTGAGAAATTTTTTTGAACTTTGAGCTTGGTCAATGAGATAAATGTGGCCACACAATTTCACATCCAATAATTAAGATTAATTGTGACAACCTTGTACTGAAGGTAAATGATATTATTCTATACTTTATCATAAATATATATCAAATCTACTATGTCCAAGTAACACAAATAGTATAGATTACAATAAATTTACGTCTACAAATAAAACTACAACCTTATAAAATTTTATATATAAACAAATGACAGAGATGACTCAATTTGTATGCGGAAAAATTAGAGTGGAAGGCTTGGATGGAAGGAAATGAGAGCTTAAGGCTTGTATGGGGAAGAAAAATTCAATCAAGGAAAAGGTTAAGAGTACGGCCAATGCTTTATGGGAAAAAAGTAAACTCATCTCAAAACTCTTTGAAAATTATACTCTGGTGTCGATAAACATTCAAATCGATCATATCGATCTTGATCATTATAGTGGGTATAAAACAATTACAATGTCAAGCCTTAAAAATAAAGGTATAGTATGCATCCGTAGGTGCACCTTCAAATTTTATCATGGTATATAATTTTGATGTAAAATGTTCGTAGGATTATCTCAAAACTATTTTTATATCTAATTATAAAATTTTAAATTTTAAAAATAATTAAAATAAAGTAGATCTATAAACATATGAAAATCTTGAAAATGGACGGTGTAGATAATATGTTGTAAAATACACTATTTTTGAGACTTACAATCTTTTTATTTTTCATGGTCATACATCTTGATGTCGAGATGATCAATCAAAGA